AAATCATCTTCTCAGGGTTTTGAGTTTAATTTTCTGTTACTGGGATGAGGACTAATAGCTGGCAGTCTTGAGGAAGCAGTACTCATTATCTGTTCATGTGCCTTCTGCACTGATTAGTTTAATGAGGTTGAGCAAGAGAAAAGACTTGAGTCTCCCCTGGCTGCATCACTACTCAACAGTATAAACAGCAAACAATGTGCTGCAGATCTGGGAGTCTAGCATTAGTCTTGATATGTAGAATGAAAATATTTGCTTTCTGTTGGCACATTATAAAAATGCATGCCAAAATTTTGATTGTCGGTATCTAGCTGTATCTGGACAGTCCATAGCAAAGAGCTGAACCAAAGGTGGTGTAGCTGTCCATGATTAAGACAAAAAGATGTTATTTTGAAAGACTGGGTTTCTTGTAGTGTAGCGCAGCTACACTAGATTGAAGAGTCTTAATAAGCTGTTAATCTGTAGTCAAACTTTCAGAACACAAAGTTGCAGGAATACCTAAATGGAATAGGGGAGAAGATTTTCCTGATTAATTATAATTTTGTTTTTTTAGGAAACTTTCCTCTGTTGATTAAAAGCAATATCAAATCACATAATCTCAGGTTTCAACCAAAGCTGGAATTTATTTTGTAAAAGTTTAGAATGTAAATATTTCACTACTTTGGAGTACTGCATGTGCTCTGGATTTGAAAGAAATAATTGTCCTCTGGGTTAATTGTACTGCAGATATTTGTTTGTCAGTTTGCCAATTCTTGCATTTTGGAAAGGAAAAAAATTATTAAAGTTTTTCCTAGCCGTGTTATCTTTAGTAAAATTGTAGCTCTGTGTTCCCTGTAATGAAGGTAAGTCCTAATTCAAATTTTCTCTTTTTGAAGTGTTTTTAGACACTTACATAGAATTTTTCTTCACCGTATCAACTTTTGACTGTCACGTTTAGCTTCACTGCTGTAGGTTTTGTACAAATTCAGCACAGTTTTCGTCTTCTGAAAGTAGCCCAAATAACAATGGGAAGAACTAAGGAAATGAAATGGAAAATGTGGCTAGACTAGCAAGCCAAACATTTCCTAAAAATTTAGTCACTGACTTGAAATCATGCCAGTTCCAGTTGCCATGGTCATTGCTTGGTTTTGAATTGTAATGATTACTTGCTTGCATTCATAGTTTAAACTTAACCATGGAAAATATTTTGCTTGTTCTGCAGCCGTTTTTGGCATATCTTCAATATGTATTTTTCTAGTTCAACTTCTGACTTGTGGGGGGTTTTGTTTTTGTATCGTACTTGGTTAAGAGCTCCATTATGGACTAATAAATTTAATAATCTCAAAATTGTGTGGCAGTTACTAAGAAAAAAGCTTTTTCTGTTCTTCTGTGTTGTTTCCTACTGTTTTGTAAAAGTCAGCCTGATTGGAAGGGATAATGGCTGCTTCCCCTTACCTCGGGTATACATAACTTTCAGGCTGTGTCATTGTTGTAATGTAATTTTTTTTTATTTATTTTTTTGATAATTTTTACAGTCCCCTTATATCTAACAGGCACTTGCAAGCATTTCAGTTTTGTGCAGCTCAGGTGCTGATCCATCCTGTTGTCCCCGTGTCCAGTTAGAGGATACTTACTGCAGCATGATGCTAACTTCTCTAAAGTTATTTTAACAGGAGGGAAAAAGGTTTGTTGCGATAAGGAGGTATAAATGGGTCTCTCTGCCTGCGTTTAACCTTATCTTTATACAAACAATTATGAAATTTTTTTTTTTCTCTTCTGCCTGTGTCTTACCTCTTCTTTATATGTGAAAGCTGGGTAGTCTGGGTGACTTTCTGGCACAGATCTGCCCTCTTACACAGTCATCCTCCTCTATATTTACTCCTTAACTGACACCCCAGCCTCCAGTCCCCCCAAATATAAGTGTCTGTACTGCCTGCTTGCTCCCTTGTGGTACGACAGATGGGTGGGAGACAGCCCTGACTAGCTGGCCCCTCGCTGTTGGACATGAGACAGCTCCTGTCTCCTCTTCCCACCAGCTCACAGTTAAACATTGCTCTTTCCGTGGTTACCAGAAGAGAGAGAACTTGCCTAGAGGGAGACAGGGATGGAGGAAGATTCGGAAGCAGTGGGAGGAGGACATGAAGGCTGGCTGGAATTTTCCTGAGATTTCTTGGGCTATTCTCCTTTGGCAAGTAGATACTCCCCATTGGAGGCCTGCTGGCTTACAGTAGCTGTTGGCACCGTGTCAGGAGCTATGCACCATTACACTGAAGCACACTAATTCTGTTGGTTTTGCAAGCACAGTTAAGAGCTGGTCATGCTCTGGCAACCTTGACAATGGCCATTTGCTTTGCTGTCATTTTTTTCTTGCAGCAGCATCTAGAGCTTTGAAGAGCATAAGCAGCCAGACCTACTTGCAGACCCAGCAGATTTATCGCAGCCAAAGTATGTATGAGGCTGTAAGTTCAAATCAAACATTCTAGCAGTCTGGCTTCCATCCTCTAGCCGTGGACTTGAGTGAGCTTGCTGAGGAGCAACTCATCAAAATCAATAGTTTCTGGAATGGGCAATAACTTCCAGAGGGAAAAATGACTGTTTGATGCAACCTCAAAATATGCTTCTGTCTCTGAATGGTAGAAAATAAGACAGGAAAGAATCGGGAGGAGGGAGAAGAAAGTTTATAGGAAAAAGGACAACTGAGATGTAACTCTGAGTATCTTAGAAGTTGTCTCATATGATGGATATTTTTCTTAACCCTTGCTGATATAAATATAAGCAGCTCCCAAAGGATGATGGCATAAGGGGGAAGATGTTGCATAGTGGAGACTCCAGCAAGCACAAGATACAATAGTTTCTATACTGAAGTGACCGTGAACAGAATGGTTCATCTCTCTGTGCTGTGGTCACTGCTAAATAGGATTCGATTTCTGTTCACCAGAATATGTATTACTCTGGGATTTGAATTAAAGTCAATGAGTTTCCCTGTGACTCCCAGGTGGAGAATGACAGGAAAATACTAACTTCCACAGAGCTGACGCTGACTCTGCAGTGGACTGGTATCCTGCTGTTGCTGTCTTTGCATATTCTGAAGACACACCTCTCGGCTCACATGGAGAGGCACAGTTTCTGAACATTGTAAGGTACCTCACTTTCAGAACTGAAGCTGGGACAATGCATTGCCTCCCTTAATTACAGTCTGAGAATTAGTTTCGGATGTGGAAGAATACAACAAAAATAAATGGTGCGCATTTCTGTATTGCTTTTACATTGTACAAAGATGACTCAAAAATAATCTTTTTTTTTTATATAAAAACCTCAAAACTGAGGTAGATATTTGGTAGAGAAGAGACATCTAAAAGCCTTCTCTGAAAGGCTCCTGTGTGTTGCTGCCAACGTTTTAAAAGAGGAGTTAAATTTTTGAATTTAAGCATGTGATTGCAAAATACCCAGATTAACGTTCAGTTAGAATCTGAAACTCTCTGAATTAAATGTCCAACTGTCTGAACTGGCTGCCCAAGCTAATGCTAATTGTATGTTTATGAACTTCTGTCTACTCGAAGCAAAATGTTTGTTTTACTTTTCCCGTAGTAAAGTAGGGAGGATGAGTTGTCTGTCTTGATGGTGTATCTACCTCATGAGTTTCAGTTCATTTTAACGCACCTGTTGTATGAAAGACCATGCTGAGAAATGCCAAGTTCTGTGCATTCTCCAGTCTATTGACACAGGAGTGACTAAAGGGCTCTTTGGAAGCATTTCAAGAACTGTTTTTGTTGATTTAACCTTGCTACATGATGTCTTAATTGTACAAAACATTTTTATAGGGCTGTTGTGTTTTATAGGCATTCTCTGCCTTTGCAGAGTGTGCAGCATCAATGGCCATGTGCTTCCCAGCTCTAATCTGGCACTGAGGACATTGGCAGAGAGGTTCCAGCATGGGACAAACTTGTTGCCTGCCATTACTGGTGCATTTTATTGTATCTCTCCTAGTTTTGCGCTGACTTGATGAAAGCTGATTCAGGTGTGTGCTTTAGTGGTTCCCGTTGTGCTGTCTGCTGGGACAGAGGTATGCTTTAAAGCGGGAGTCAACTGGGAAATCATGTAAACATGTGGTTTAAGGAACTCGAGGCCGGGACCCGATCTTTCAGCTCCTGGTGCTATTGCAGTGGTGTGCGTTTTGAAAATCTTCTAATGTTGGTGATAGCAGGCCCTCTAGAGGGGGATTTGATCATAGAAGAGCGTGCAGGGTCAGGACCAGAAGTCCAGTGGGAGAGCTAAGCAGCAGTTTAATGAAGCTGTTTTATGCTGACGTGAGCCTCTACTGCAATCAGAAAGGGTGGTTCTGTCCTGCGCTCATCTTTGTGCTGGCACTAACATTGATGCCTCTGGCCATACCACTGCGCAACTTGCTTATCCCATGGAAAAGAAAAATTGTACCAGGTTAACAAGCTAACCTCAGGGACTGTGGGGCCACAGGAGTGCAGGAGGTCGGCTTCTCTTGTCGCTGGCCGCACAGCCTTAGAACACTGTGAGCTACTCGTGAGACTGCATCCTTGCAGTATGAGTAACGGGTACTTCTCCAGAGAATCAGGAAGAGAGATTGCAAATGGAACAGACTCTACAGTGGATATTTTTGAAGTGGGAGGTTTCTGTTCTCAGAGTGAGAAGTTACCATAAAGGTCCATGCCTCAGCTGGGACCTTCAGTTTGGGAATCCTCAGAAGCAACCTCTTGGCTGGTCATTGATAAATTGGGTCAGTACGATATTGACAGAATGGAAATAAAGTTTGGCTTAAAAATAGAAAGGCATCTTTATGGTATCTTTATGGTATCTTTAACTTTCTTTGCTTTAGAAAACAGTTTTGGCACTGCAGGAAAAAGCTGAATGTATGCATGTGTTCCTAAAGGAAATGGAATAGTACCTCTATTTTTTTACTTTTCTTTTTGCAGAAAAAAAGCTGCAAGTTATCTAATGACTAAATAAGGTCTACATTCTCATGATTTGTCTGATATGCTTCTCCGGGAGCCATGGATGAATACAGCCGCTTTGTGGATTGGGACAAAATGGATGCTACTGTCCAGAGCCAGGATGCCAAGGGGCTAACCTGCACGGAGTTCCAGGACTTCAAGCAGCCAGCCCGGCAGGGCCACTGGGCCAAGAACCACTCTCTGAGAGCCAAAGTGTACCACAAACTAATTAACAATATCCCATGCCGCACAGTGACCCCAGATGCAAACGTGTACAGGGACATTGTTGTGAAGCTAGTTGGGAAACGTAACAGTAGCTCCCTTCCACTGCCAGAGTTTGTGGATAACAGCCTGATCCCCACGTACTGTTTGAACGCAGAAGGCATTGGGGCAGTCAGGAAGATTATATTGTGCATTGAGAATCAGTTCCCAGACATATCGTTTTGCCCAGCACTGCCTTCTGTGATAGCTTTGCTCCTCCACTACAGCAAAGATGAGGCAGAGTGCTTTGAACAGGTTTGTCGCATCCTTGCTTGCAATGACCCGTCGAAGCGGCTCATTGACCAGACGTTCTTAGCGTTTGAGTCCTCCTGCATGACTTTTGGTGACCTGGCTAACAAGTACTGTAAGGCAGCACATAAGCTGATGGTGGCAGTGTCTGAGGATGTGTTGGAGGTGTACTCCGACTGGCAACACTGGCTCTTCGGAGAACTGCCTCTGATGTACATTGCTCGGGTCTTTGATGTATTTCTGGTGGAGGGCTACAAAGTTCTCTATCGCGTTGCCCTGGCTCTTCTGAAATTTTTTCGCAAAGTCAGAGCTCAGCAGCGCATGGAGTCTGACAGCATCCAGCAGGAAATTCGAGCTTTTGTGAGAGACATTGCCACATCAGTGTCTCCGGAGAGGCTTCTGGAAAAAGCCTTTGCCATCCGCCTGTTCTCACGGAAGGAGATCCAGCTTCTGCAGATGGCCAACGAGAAGGCTTTGCAGCAGAAGGGCATCACGGTCAAACAGAAAAGGTAGGGCTCTCCCTACAGGTAGCGTGAGTGGTCTTGGGAGTTTCCCCTGCGTGATGAGCAGTCAGTCAGTCCTGGGTGACTGGTGGGGAAGGAGAAGAGCTCTACTTCTACATGCTGGTACATCTGCTCATTTTTTTTTCTCTGCAGAAAAAGTCAGCAGCACCAAAATTAAGCGCTGCTGGGATTGTAATGAGAAGTGTAACTGATATGTTATGATACAAGAGGAACAAAGCAGTTCCTCATAGCTTACTCAGTGATGAATTTATAATTAACTTTCACAGGTACATATTAATTGCAAGTACTGTATCTCAAAAGTGTCTTAGACCCGCTGGATTTAAACAAAAAGCATTTTAGCAAAGCTGGAAAAAAATCAGATAAATTACTTGGAAGACAAGTACCCAAACAAATGTGAAAATTAATTCTTAAATATGAGATTATTTGTATAAAATGTCAATTTCATGCTGCCCGGTACTGTGAATTCAGCAGTTTCTTTAGTGTAAGTAAGGAAATACTGTCCCAGCTGGGAACGTTTTGCTTAACTGGGGAGTCATTTTAACAGAACAAAGAAGAAATGTCTTATTTACAGGTTACTTTTAAAATTAGCTTGACTCTAAGCCTCCTGAAAGTCAAGAGTATAGTAATCATAGGTAGGAGTGACCTATTTTGTGACAGGTTCATATACTCTCAGAAATAATGATTTTGAAAGAACCATGGAAGAGTGAGGTTTTCAGAAATGAGGGAAGGAAAACAAGCTGTGAAGCTAGTAAATGAAATCCTGTTCCAATGTGATTGTAAAAGCCACAATAACAAAAAGCTTACCTGAAAGACGTCTCCATGTATGTATGTATGTAGAAAAGCCACCAATATATTAATCTAAACAAAATTAGCATCTTGCCAAGTGCAAATGTATGCGCAGGTAAATAATGGTGTTGTAGACGTGTTCCGTTTCTCCTAAGGCGTTCTGTGACCATAGAAAACATCTCCTAACCGTTTTTGAAATGTAAGTGTTGAACAGTTTTATCAGATGTCCTGACCTCTGAAGGGAGGATGACTTCTAGAAGTCTACTGGGGTCACTAAGGATGATGCCTAGAACTTGGTATTCTAGAGGGACAGTCTTCCATGTTCTCTAAATCTTCAAAAAAGCAAAAGGTACCAGCAGTGCTGTATTAGGATCTCACAGACAATTGTGTTGCTGAGTTACAGTAGCTGCAAACAGAAACCATTCCATGGTATTGAGATATGTATATACTTAGCATCTTTCAGCCTATAAAATAATGTAAATGTTAGCCGAACCTCTTTCTGTGCCTAAATACATGTAAAGTTCCTTGGAGTCTTTTACAAAGGTTTATTTTTAGACTCTCAGTTTGATTTCCCAGATAGCTTATGCTTTTTTTTTTTTTTTTATTTCATGTCTTGGAAGAGACTTTTCTCAGTCTCAGATATTTCAAAGCCTTTAGCCACTGGAATGTTACGTCGGGTAGAGTTCAGACCATTGTATTTGGGACTCGCAGCCAAAAGTATTAACTCTTCCAATGTGTATCTTTTCTTCCTGTACTGAGTTCAGGAGAGTTGCAATAGCCTTTCTGAGTATATTGTTCAGCAACAGAATGAGAGCTTTAAATTTAAAAAAAAACAAAAAAAAAACCCAACCACAAAAAAAATCCACAACAACAAAACCCCAACCAACCACAAAAACCCCAGAAGCTCCTGCTGTGTTAAGTGTTGTAGAGGTGTTCTTGCTCAGAACAACAGTGATGCCTTCAAAGCAAAATACAGTCAGTTTGTCCCCATTAATGCCAGTAAGTTACGGCTTTGCCAGGCAGAGCTGCTAGTGAAAACTGTTATCCTCTCTTGCTGCTTTTGTAAACATACTGAAACTTCTCAGGATCACCTGGCACAGTACCGCTGTGAACTTGGCTCTGGCTGCATCCCAGTGTGGGCAGCTGCGGGTGCTGGAGAAGCGAGCTTTTCTCCAGTGCTGACAAGGTGTGAGTGAGTTCTCTTGTCCAGATGTGTTTGTCCAGTGCAAGAAGATGATGAATTATTTTCCAATCAGATAATTACAAGTAGGTAGCAAAAAAAAAAAAAAAAAAAAAAAAAAAGAAATAGGAAATATTTTCGTCTGTTTGTTTGTTTGTTTGTTTTTCTCATGCTTTGTGATTCGGATCAAACCTTACTTTGTTTCTCTCCAGGCTCCTTTCATTCACTTTGTCATGGATGTAGGAAATCACTGATCTTTTCTATCTTTTTTTGTCTTTCTCCTTATTGACGTTCTCCTTCTGTCAATCCCATGCCCACTGCACCCTTCCCGTTTGCAGTGTTGCATCTCCCAAAAGGTAGGTTAAAACACTGGAAACTTTGCTCTTTTCTTCTGTCTTTGGATGGTTATTTTTGCTGAGGCTGTCATTATTGCTGATGCTGGGGCGGGAGAAGCAGGGCAGCAATTACAGCATCTGATTGCTGCGCAGCTTCTCCTGAATACACTCTTGCAAAGTTAGTTCAAAGCACCTGCAAAGTTGTGAGTTCAGGGATCCTGGGCCCAGCTTGTCAACGCAGCACTCTCATACAGCAATACAGTGTTTTCCAGATGCAAAAGCATAATGGTAATTGTGGGATATAAGTCCTTTCTGCACTGGAAGAAAAGTGTTATTTTTTTAAAACATCTCGAGTAACGTGTCTGCAGAACTGTTGGGTATTGTTCCACATCCAAACCTGGTATATGCTGCTGCGATAGATGTGAGACATACTCAACTTTTTTTCTCCTTTGCAAGCTTTCCACAGTTAATTGGAAAGATGTTGGACTGAACCCACCTTGGCACACTCCTAAAAGTTATTTGTTTCTATTCATAGTAGATTATATTTATTTTTAAGTAGATAGGGGTTTTTTTAGAGGCAAGAAGACAGTCTATTTTCCTGTGTCAAGGAGGTCAGAGTTACTCAGCCATACAGCATCAATGGTTAGTGAAGTCATTCATCAAGTCTTGGCCTGAAAAGCAAATCTTAAAGAACAAAAGAAGCCAATGGATTGTGATACCTGATAAGCAGAGAACTTGGAAAGGAGAAAGGCTGCCCTGTGAGTATGGAGTACCACAGCTGTATGGATTGAAATTAATGCCTTTGAGAATCTTCTGGCCTTGTTGCAGGTGCGCTGAGTTAACTTAAATGAGCAATGCACACTAACGTTTGTACTAATTTATAAAATCAAAATTGAAAATAATTTCCTCATGTTTTTATGTCTGAAAGAACACCTTAAGAGACTTACCGGAGCATGTTTCATATCATATCCTGTGGGCTGAGGATTTTACCTCTAATAAATCAGCAGGCTGTTAATTCCAGCTGGGCAAATGTTCAACACTGGTGTATTGCTTTACTGGAGCTACAGTGTTCTGAAAGCAGCAGAAGGCCTTGGTTTCTGCTAGGAAGCACATCATTTGGGTTTGAGGGGACTTAGTTAGATGCGGGGTGTCTGTTGTCACTGATCTCAACACAGGATTAGGTTTCAGGCTCATACACCACCTATGGCTTATATTGCCATTTATGGCTGTGAAACAGCATATGGCTTCTACCACGCATTTATGCTCTAACTAAAATTATAGTGGATTTTAAAGATAATGCAGACCCTGTCGTATTTGACCCAAAACAAAGCAGAATAAGGAGATGTAATTCAGTGAGTCACACCTTGGAGCGTAGTATTTGTCATCTTGGAATCCATCCAGAGCATATCTGCTGTGACAGCTGCCACCGCGTGTTGTCAAAGTTGGCTTTATCGTCATGAACTTTCAGGTCTCTGAAGCACATTGTATTAATGATACAGCTGGATAAACAACATTCCTATGAAAATAGCAAATAATCTGCTTTATTAAACATTTCAGTTGTGCTACTTTGCTAAATCTAATTTCCCTTGGGATAAGAACAGTTGAACATGTCTTTCCAACAGCATCAATCCATAGAAAGTTGTCACGCCAATCCCAATAAGCCAACATGGAGAATTGAGAAAAATGCTAACGCAGGGTAAAATCTTCATGAATTTGTTCAGTCCAAATTTAGTGTTCTCTCAAACTGCTGGGTTTTTTACCAGGTAGCCCTGACAGACCTCTGATGTGGTGAAGGCTGAACTTAATTTTCATCAACCAATATAAACCAAAACGTTGGGGTTTTTTCTTAGCCAACTTGGGTGTTTGTTTTCACTCATTTACTATTTTAAAAAGCAGCTACCCAACTGAAGCAGATGTTGTTCAGTGTCATTAGAGAAACACTGTCAAAACAAGAGGATGAATACAGGTTTGATACTTGTAACTCTAGTTACAGTTTTCTGAACCCCCTCCCCAAAAAAACCCACTTGTATTTTTGTGAAGCAGCCCAGGGTTTGGTTTGGTGTAGGTGCAGGCTGTGTGTTGACACTGGTCTCAACACAGAATCAGGTTTCAGCCTTAAGCACTGGGAAACAGCATATCATTTCATTTCAAATCCTTCAGTCAAGCTACAGTCTAGGCTTAATGGTGACATTAAATATAAAATGATTCACCATCATCTTCAAGGGGCAGGAACGGCGTGCCTGGAATAGTTTTAAAGCATTTACCATTGTATTGGCTACTTCTGGGAAACCAGAAAGATCTGTTTGTAAAGGTGATATTCTGCCTACGTGGAAAAGCTGTACGGAAAGTGATGTGTTGCTGTGAATGCTGCTCAACACAGGCTTCCAGTGGGGTCTGGGTGATAAAGTCCTTAAATCACCCATTAATAGTAGCCAGGAGAAGGAACAGAGGCAAAAGAAAAGGGACACTGAGGTTGAGAGCCTTTTAGGAACAAGTGCATAAGTTTAGTTGCCCAAACAGATCACATAAATAATTATGAAGCTCGCCTGTTTGAGGTTTAGTAAGTTTAAACTCTTTCAATATTTGCCACTAACTCTGAGCCTATTTACCATAATTATTTTTCCTCTAGAAGTTCAGTGTAATAAACTAGATGACTGACCTGCATATTTTTTAATTCCTTGAACGTGAGACCAATCTGATTTCTGATGAACTGAAACCAAGGCTTTGTTTCTCAGCACTGTTCCGTAGTGCTGTCAGTCTTTAGCTGCAAACCAGGCAGGACCCAGGGAGCTGAGACCTAAAGGAAGATTCTGAAGATGTGGGTTCAAATCTTGGCTCATACTTTGATCTCTCCTGTGCCTCAGCTTGCTGTATTTAAAAGCACAAATAATGTCCTAGTCGGTGATACTGTAAGTTTTAAAACTCATTCATAGTTGCAGCTTGCTTCAGTAGGTGTCTGTTTAAGTTCCGTGCTAATGAAATACTGCAGGGTAGCAATGCAAGTAGTGATTTGGTTCATTTTGCTAGAGGAAGCAGAAATTATTATTTTTTTTTTTAAGTGACCTAAGGAGTCACTTCATTAGGAATGCTGACACGAAGGCAGCTACAATAAATTTCAGAAAGCATTTCCCAGTGTCTCCAAGCTCTAAAGTACAGTGCCAGTGCTGTTGATTTCTTGGTACGACAAGCAAGAAAAATAATTAAAAAATGTATGATTTGTGTGGTTTAGGGAGTGAACTAAGCTATTCAGATACATGCAGATATGCAGTATTGAGGTGCTCTTTATATTCCATGAATTTGAGGGGAAAGAAATGTGTAATTGTGAAAAAAAACCCATCAGAAATTGGCAAATACTTGCAAATGAACCCTTGCATGCAGAGCAAACTGCCTAAAGCTTCATTTAACTATTGGCTCCCCAGTAATATAGTATCTTCTGTAAGTTCCTGTGCCACTTCCACCATGTACTTGGCTGTCACCCTTGCGTTTTAAAAATCTTTAACGTCTGCTATGGATGCAATAACACTTGTTTACTCCCCAGGCTCTGAGTCTGTCTGCTTATTTAATCTGAGAAATGAAGTCTGGTTAAATTATGACTATTATTATTATTACCTTCAAGTGTCTAAAAGCCATGAGTCTGTTCTTATAATTGTATCAGACCTCTCTGGGGGTATGAGGGTTTGCTTTCCGGTGTGAGTGTCCAGTGTACCTTCACGTTTTCAGGCTCCGTCTGAGCCTAGGAACTTGTTTGGTTCTTCATGAAGTGGAAGTCAGTGGTAATGACATGTTTCTAAGAGGTGGAACTTTCCAAAAGCTTCAAGTATTTGCTTTGGATTAAAATTGCTTAGCCTGGTAATACTGATTCCTCTAAGATTTCTGAGGGTTTTAGGAATTCTCTGATTCCATCCATGATAACAGGCAGGACCTCAGAGGGGGGGAAAAAGTGCTACCTCTTCCTTTACAGATCCTGGCTGTTTCTTTAGGTATTCTGTTTTCTGTGCTTAAATACTAGCGCCAGTGAGACTGTCTCAAACAGCAAATATCATTTGACCTGTTTAAGGCCATGGTCATCCTAGTTGGTCCCCCATTATAGGTACAGGTCACAGCTGCCATCCAGAGGAATTCACTGCAAGAGTGATCAGGCATTGGAACAGGCTGCCCAGGGCAGTGGTGGAGTCACCATCCCTGGAGGGGGTCAAGAAACATGTAGATGTGGTGCTTGGGGACATGGGTTAGTGGGTTGGGTGGTGTTGGGTTGACGGTTGGACTTGATGATCCTTGAGGTCTTTTCCAACCTTAATGATTCTTTGAATTGCTCCAGGTGTTTCAGTAAGGCCAGTTCTCTGCCTCTTGAGGATTATGTTAAACTGCAGTAGTTTAGGATCTTCACTAAGTCATGGCCTTCTAATCCCATGGGCTGGAACATTGAACAGTGGCATATCTACTGGGCGCCTTTAGTGTTCAGCTGTCTTTGCATGTTACTGTCCAGTAATCTGAAACGTGTTTTGTTGTTAAATTACTGTTTCTCAATGTTTTGTATTGTATTTCTCAGGCAGAATGTGCACTTAGCAGTTCATGCTGAGAACTTCAACTCTGAAATTGTCAGTGTGAAAGAGATGCGAGATATCTGGTCATGGATCCCAGAGCGATTTGCGCTTTGCCAGCCCCTCCTGCTTTTCACCACCTTGGAACATGGCAGCAGTCTGACCAGGTAAGGAAGACCTTCCCCGCTCTTCTCTACCGTGGGGCAAAAAAGGGCAACAGGTGAAGTGTTCGCTGGACTGACAGAAGGCCAATGCCGAGTCAGAACTTGATCTGAAGAATACTATTAGCAACGGGATGTAAATGTGACAAATTCCTGTTGGCCGCAGCATTTCACCAGGTTACTTCATATGCTAAAACATGGCAAGCCATTTTAAACTGTCCAAGACCAACTGGAAAAGTCAAACTGGCACCAGTTCCAAGGATCTGCTGGTCTGAGACTGGCTCATGGCCCACTGTGTGTGAATGGCTTAACCCCGGGGCTGCTCTGCAGGCTCTGGTGGTAGATAACCACACTCCAACTGATCCAAAGAGTAAGGGAACTGGACACTGGAGATTCCTCTACCTAGGACTCTGTTGTTATTTTTAAAGTGGGTTAAACTAGATAGCAGTTCTCCTTGCCCTTGACACAGAAGACTATAATCCTATAGCTCCTAATAGTGGCTTCCACATCTGCAGTTGTGGTCCCGAGGTGGGGAGTGGTCTGCTGTCCCGGCCCTGTGTGCCTATGAGGAAAGCAAAAGCCAGCAAAGAGAATTCATCATAATTACTTTCTATGGAAACAGAAGGCTCTTCAGACACAGCCATCAGTCCTCAGGACACAACTTGCTTTAGGTTGTCTTAATTCCAAATGCTGTAAGAGGCCGCTGTTGTGATAGGTAGGCTTCTAGCCATTCTGCAGAGGCACAAACAACTCTACAGAGAACTGACTAGAGAAGAACTGCTTGATAATATTTGTCTACACACTTTAAAATGGACTGTAGGAAGCATTTGCAGGAATATTCTTAGTCTTCAGATGTGCTTTTTGCCACGTCATCAGTTGGAGGAGGAGGGGAGTGCCTGACTTTGAGGAGGAAGAGATCTGTAGCCGGTGGTAGTTGAGTGCTCATGTTTGTGTACTCTGCCCTTCAGGTTCTATTCTCATACTGAGGGACACGAACCAACTCTTCTCCTCATCAAGACCACAGCAAAAGAGGTGAGTGAGGTGAAAGGCAACTCATTAAATTAGGTTTTAGGCAGTTACATGGTGCTGTATTGCAACACACAACTGTTCATAATAAAATGAAGAAGCAGGGGACCTGAAATTGCTTGGGGTTTTGTTTTGTTTTTTAACAATGCATCCTTTAAATGGTTCCTTTTGTTGGATTACAGGACTATGCATTCTTGGGTAAATCTTGTAAACCAGGTCTTAGTCAGCTGTTCTTTCTCTTGTAAGTAACGTGGCATGATGGACTAGAGTAACTCATGGAGCTCTTGTACAGAGTCTCTTAATTGCAGAATCAGAGAGAGAGGCTGGGGAATCATATTACGAAACTCATGATTCATTGAAGGTATTTTTGTTTTCTCCAGGATATGAGGAGAGAAAGTAGCAGAATTTAAATGGTATGAATAATACTGAACTACATAATGTGGAAACAAAAGCTCTAGCTTTGTCTCAGTCTTGTTTGGAAAAAAAAAAATAAACCAAGAAAGCTCTGAGAACTTGCGGAGGAGTGCACACAGGTGCCCTATCTAATGAGCGCTGATTCTCTGCTCCACGGTGTATGACAGTATTGGACAACATCATGTGAAAACAGAAACGTTACCTTCCTCTCATGCTTGTTTAAAAAAAATGCATGAAACAAGAAAGCTTCCCAGAACTTCTGAAGGAGGGCACACAGGCGGTTCCTGCAATGAGCGCTGGTTGTCTGCACCACTGTGCATGACTTCAAATACTCTGGGTATAGCATTCAGCTGTTATTGCAGGGTGACTGTCCGTGAAACAAGCCTGTTTCTACTCTTATGTGCATCTACCTAATGCTAATGCTCCAGGCTGTTTCATAGCTCTGTGTATGGTTTCTGGCTATCCCAGGCCTGCATTGACATACCAGCGGCTTATAGAATATCCATGGTATCCAAAAGGAAGAGGGAAAATATTTATTATTGTGCTTCTTGGCCTGGAGCACGTCAGAAGTCCAGCTTTGTAAGTGATGCTGGGTTTTATAGTATGGTTAATTTCTTACCCCTCAAGAAAAAAAGAAAAAAGATAGTCTGAACAAAAAAGTAGGAGAAAAGAATGGGGTTTTTTGTTTGGTGGTTGTGGGTTTGGGGTTTTTTGCAAAGGGTTGTGTTCTTCCTTTATTCTTATGTCTATGGTTACATTTTAGAAAGAAGAAATTTGCGTCTCATTTTCTGTCTCTCATGTACTTTGGGCATATCAGATCAAACAGGGTTCTGGGCCATCTTTTTGTTTATGCACACAATTTATCTATATTAAAAAAAATTTAATTTTGTCCTAGGAGCTCTGCCTGTAATGCTAAACAGCAAATGTACCTTAGAACAATTCTCTTCAACCATAGTTTCTGGGGGAAAAAAATGCAGAGTTGCTTTCATCCCATTCTTAGAGCTTCATTGTTTGGTTCATGTCCACTTGGCAGCGATGCTTATTGCTGGTAGCAAGAAATTCTCCTAGTGCGAACAGAAGACTCCGCAGAAAAGCTCAGCCCTCTAAGGCTATGTTTTTCTTTATTGGAAACTAGTGGACCCCATGCTGTTTGAATAGGCTGCTTTAAATATCTGAGCTGGTTCAGCTTGGCTTAGCTAAGCAGATTTTAACCTACAGTTTGAAATTGAGAAAGCCGCCAAGGCTACTGGTTATGACCAGAAAATGTTCAGGCAGAAGTGTTCATACTGTAGCTTGTGACAATAATGTTGCTTTGGATGCCAAAATGAGGAAGTGGGAGTCAGGCTTTACAGGTTTGGAGTGATTTGTGTTTTGGTACCTGGGGTTATGTTGGAACATTTCTCCTTTAAGGCCTCAGAGATGTGAAATAATTTATGAAACTCTTGGGATTTAAAGGCACCCACCAGTGGATTAAAGCAGGTTAAATCTATCTTTAGATATAAGTACTTGTGCTGCCTTAATCCACTGACACAGAGATTTTGAAAACCAGCTGAAATAAAACATTCCGTTCTGAACAGTGAAGTGTTGGTATCAGCTGGTTTAACGCACTTTCTTCTTCAGTGGAACGCCTCCTGACGGTGCTTGTTCTAGGTCTGTGGCGCTTTTCTGTCAACGGACTGGAGCGAGCGCAAACGGGGAGGGAACAAGCTGAGTTTCTTTGGAACTGGGGAGTGCTTTGTATTTAGGGTGAGTAAAATTTTATTGTTGTGACCCAGTTTCAAGGCAGAAGCGCTGTACTGGTGTGAGTAACTCTCATTCCCTTCCACTTGAAGAGGCTGGATTATTTCCCCACCTAGTTGATCAAGTCTACTGAAGTCTTAATGTGGAGGAGAAAATTTCACTGCTGAGTGTTGTAGTAACCCCTTCTCTCCCCTTGCGCAGAATATTTTCTCAAAAGATGCAGTAAGGTTATCAGAAAACCCTGCATCATTTCTTCAATCACCTAAAAAGCAAAGTTATAAAGAAAGAGAATACCACCTGGCCTAAAAGCGCTTTGATCGAATCTTTACCACTAATCGTGTGGGTGGAATCTTGAATGTTCTTTGCTGTGCAGAGCTCTCTGTGTGGTACTAACTACAGCTTTGCTCCTCTCTGCCCCTGTGCAGCTGCAGCCAGAAGTGGAACGCTATGAGTGGGTGATCATAAAACACCCAGAACTGGCCACAACTAGTTCAGAGCCAGCACATTGTGCCTCAGCAGATTCCAGCACCCTCTCCTCCAGCAGCACGTCATCAAACCTTTCTCCCTTCTTGTCGGCTCGGCGCTTGCCATCCAAAACAGCCTCCATGTTCATGGCTGGCAGCAGCGAATGCATCATTATAGGTAAGTCAGTGTGCGAATTTGAGCATATATCCCACCAGCTCTTCTTAGCGGCCTTACGTAAGAGCGCACCTGTATGTCCCGTATATGTATTTCAGTATTGCTACAGTAAGAGATAAAAGCAGCCAAAACCTGATATTATTACCCAACAAAAATTTTCAATGGGAAAACTTGTGTATCAAGCATTTTAAAGGAAGGTAGTAACTAAGCTTTAAGAACAGGCATGCTTTCATGCTGCCTAACTCATGATGAGAAGTAGTTCTTGAAGAGGAACTTTGCATTGAGGCTTTTGAAACACAGGGTAAACTATAAAACATGTTGATTCTTCTGGAACTTTATTTGATCTGTGGTGCTGCTGACTTTGGCAAAAGCCTGCTTAGTAAAGTTGTCACCTAAGTGGGATTTACAGGAACAGGTCTAAAATTGTAGTTGTCCTTTTCCCGAAAAGCTTTACTTGACACTTGTTAGGAGAGCAACTACCCTGGTGACTTCTTCTGTAACATCAAGGGTGGGCTGATTTCCCACTTAGCAGCATGCGCTCGGGTCGACCATGAGGCGGGCTGATCCGGTATCAGCTAGGCTGGCAAGAGCTTTGGTGCGTGTGTAACTGAATTAGAAATCACCATTAATGATGTATCATGGATATTTCAGAGATCTTTACTGATGAGCATATATCCCACCCACTCTTCCTATCAGCCTTAGACAAGAGAGTCACTTATATTTACCATATATTACACTATGGGTAGTAACAAGAGAAATACAAGCTTGGGTAGTAGACTAATGGTAGAAATTAATGTTGTACATAATTCCAGCTGTAGAATTTCCACCCTTTTGATTCCTCAGTTGTTTTCAGTAGCTGTTCTTAGATGGTTGTTCCACAAGCAACAGGGGAACCTTCCTTTTTGTTTTCCTAACACATTCTAAGTTTATTTCACTTCACTGTATTCTTTGACTGTGAGCTCTCTGAACCTTAACATAGACCCACAGATAATCAAAATGCTTTTAAATTCTGACGTGTTTTATAATGATTTAGAAGACCAAGCCAGTGCTGTTACTTATTGATCTTGTTCTTCTACCAGCTTTGATTTTTGACTGCTAACAGAATTCTTTGGGTATTTTTTACTGGAGGGAAAACATGGAACTGGTAGCTTCCAAGATCCTTAAGCACTGAAAAACAAATCTTAAAGGCAGGCATTTGAGTCAGGCTTCTTGTTCTTACTGACTTGAATTACTGTTTGTTTTTTTAATTAAAAGCAAAAAAGTCATCCAGTCCTGATAGTGTAATTTAAAAGCTATGCATTTGATCATACTCTGTTAAACCCGAAGACAGCAAGCAAACATCATTTAGGGCTTCTGGTTGTTCCCATGAGAAAAGCACTCGTGCCCTTTTTTTTTTTTCTTCTTTTTTTTTTTCTCCATATAGCAGTTTCCCATGCTAAGTACTGCAGAGACATTACACTTGTCTTACACTTGTCTTTGTCTCTTTACAGGAGGTGGTGATGGCCAGGCTCTTTACCTCGATTCAGATCTGAACCATGGAAGAACCAGCCACTGCAGTACTTTCAATAATCAGCCACTGTGTTCTGAAAGCTTCCAGATCTCCGTCTTGGAGGTGTGGGGCTTCAGGGACACCATGAACGGTTGATGTGACTGTCGTTAATCAGCTAGTTTTTCCATTGTCCTAGGATTCCCAAGGCAAATTCGAATGCAGGAGCCACATTAGAACATAATTTCTGCTGGGCTCAGTATTTTTTCGTAATTACAAAGTGGTACACTTGAATGCAGGGCTTAGCTGTTTACTCTTATTTTATTTAAGACAGGTCAAGGTGAAGTAATGTATCTGATTAACTCCTTAGCTCTTTACCTCTAGAGATCTGGATTCTAGTCCTGTTATTAGGTATAAATAAAAATGTCGTGATTCCAAAACATCCTAAATGGGTACAAGTCCATATGTCAGGATAGGTTTGCAGTTTGATGCGATTCCTCAGAGGCACAGGGCTGGCTGAGGTGTACTGTAGAGCTGTGTGCCGCTGGCACCAGTAGCTGACTTGAGCCAGTAATATCAAATGTCTGCTCACAGGGAACATTGATGACCTCATATTTGATGTAGAACAGCATTTCATAAAATCATTGCCCTACTATGAGCAGACATTGTGCAGACAAATCAGTACCATTTCATAAGTTATGAAAGCCTGCGATTCAGACAAGAACAATGATGGCTAGTTATCCTTCTCCTTGTACTGGAGCCCTTGACACATTCCAGTTGCATCTGTTTGAGAAGTCTGCCTCTGAAAAAGGCATCCAGACTGGACAACAATATCTCAGAGGCTTGATTTTGTTTACATTCCTATTCCATATCAGTATAATGACTTCAAACTGACACATGTTTCAGGCAGCTGAAAGCCAGAGCATATATGCAGCATTCAGAAACTTCCCTTTCTTCCTCTTTCCTGGAAGCTGAAATGGAGCTTTAAATCTGAGAATAACTGTGCTGCTATCCCTACATGTTTGGGGAATTAGACATCGAGGGAGCTGGGTCTCTTTAGCCTGGAAAAGAGGAGACTGAGGGGTGACCTAATTAATGTTTATAAATACGTGAAGGGTGAGTGTCAGGAGGATGGAGCCAGGCTCTTCTCTGTGACATCCAGTGATAGGACAAGGGGCAATGGGTTCAAGCTGGAACATAGGAGGTTCCGCTTGAGTATGAGGAAAAACTTCTTTACAGTGAGGGTGACAGAACACTGGAACAGGCTGCCCAGAGGGGGTGTGGAGTCTCCTTCTCTGGAGACATTCAAAGCCCGCCTGGATGCGTTCTTGTGTGATCTGATCTAGGTGTCCTGCTCCGGCAGGGGGATTGGACTAGATGATCTTTCGAGGTCCCTTCCAATCTCTAACATTCTGTGATTCTGTGATTCTGTGATACAGGAGCTTAATGCTCTCCCCACAAGTAAATGAAGGGAGATGGGAGGGAAATCTTCAGTGTAATATTATTCTGGGAGTGGACAGGTTTCCCAGGAGAACTCTAGGCAAAACTATTTTTCCATATCGTGAGTCTTCCCCGTGATGGGATCCTGAAAAAGGTAATGCTTTTTTTGCCAGCAGTGTTCTGGTAGGGTTTGGATGATGCCATGAGGCTTTTGCTCATTCCTGAGAGTTTATGCAGTTCTCTGCAAGCATGACTCGATGTCTGGAGGCAGTTGCCCAGTGTCTTTATCTAAAACTTGCGGTATCAGTATCTGCTGTAGAACTTCTTCCACATGACATGCAAGTACATAAACATTGATGGATAGTCCAGAGCACACAACGGGATGCTCTCAAAGCTTCAGTGGGTAATTTGCTGGGTAGAAGATTTACCCCAACAGGGTAGAAGATTTACCCTTTTTTTAAAGAGGAATTGCTATTTTTTTCAACAGTTCAATCTAAAAAAAAAAATTGCTTTAGAGCAGGGGAAATGTTATTCCCACTTAAACTTGAAGTTCATTAAAAGGCAACATTAAAAATTTATAGGGATAAAATCCCAGCTAGGCTGGACAGGGTTGTGTTAATATTCAGAGGTCACAGGTGTCTCTTGTTGGTAATGCTGGCTTGTTTAGCTTGCCATCAATGAAAATACCGTGTGTCTCTGAAGTTCTCTTGCGAAGTATGTGAACAAACTTGGCAAAAATGCGATTTGCTTCTTAAGGTGCCATTTTGAATTTTTGTCAGAGCAACTCTCTGAAATATTGGAGTGCATATACAGCAGTTTAAATGATTTTGCGCCATTTATATTCGCAATTAGATTATTTCACCCTGTTTGAGAGTCACCACTGGGCCTCTCTTTCTTTCCCGCTTCCCACTCAGGGAGTTCTGTCCACCTGTCTTTTCATAGGTTTACCACAAGCTTGATAGAACTGGAAGGGGAGGTACAATTCAGTTCTACTTGTGTGTTTTGATGGGGAAGAACTCAAACAGTCATATCTGCCTTTTTTAAAAATACTGACTGATGCTATCCTCATTAATATTTTCTCAAAGCCAGATCTATCCCTTTGCACTTGCTAGTGTCCCACAAGCTTCCTCAGACAAAAGAAATCACTCAGAAATGCATCCCAGTTAGTAGTTCTCTTAAATGTAGGTGGGATTTCAGTTTTATCCATATCGCCTCTCTTTTGAGCTTGTCTGAGGTGCCCTTGGGAAAAAGAAAAAATAACAAACCACAATAGCATTACTTTTCAGCTTGTTAAGTTGTCAGAAATTCCCTCGAGCTATGTGTTGGCAGGATTTGTGGAACTTTAGTATTGCACTCCAAATGAATAGGTTTTATCTACAAAATCTTTCCTGCAGCTGGCAGCGGTGATGTGATTTTTCTCCCTCCCTGTCCCTGCTGGTTGCAGCTATGTCAGCGAAACCCGAATACTCTACCATGTCTTAAACCATATCTAAGAAACACTGTTCCTTTCCCTGCTCTGTTCTTAGTGCACAGGGATTTGGGTGTTTGAAGTCAGAAATAGCTCTTAGTTTCTCCAGAATTCATCATAGGATATTAGAGTGAGAATCCAAGGACCAGTACTGAAAATTGGTGAGGTTTAGGCGTCTGGGTCTCGACTGCCTCAAAAGTCAGTTGCAGGCATCAGCTCAGCTTTCATTGTGCCAGACGATACAACTTTTTAGTTTTTTGGCAGTGAAGGTCCCCAAAAGACCCCTTTTTGGTAGCTTATCTAGATGGCCAACCGGTCTTCCGCGTGGGACTAAAGGTAAATCTTCATTCTCAAAGTAAGCTGTTCCGCGGGGTGGCTGGCAGGGTCCACCAGTGCTCTGTGCATCTGCAACTGGTGTGGGCGTGCCTGGAGCACCCACTGCCCCCCGAGCAATTGGAGTAATGAGCTGTAGGAGTTTGCACATCCCAGTGGGGGTACAAGGGTTAATGGGTGATCCTCCTTCTGCTGCCTTTTTGCATTCATATCAGTCTTGGCACCTTTCACAGGGAGGGTTTTAGTTCGATGCAGCATTGCCCTGCTGCAGACATCTGGCAGGACTAGGATGTGTGTTTGAAATGTGAATAGCCTGAATAAGTAAGAGTCTGCAAGAGGAATTGCACAGTGCTGCGTCATCTTCACACAACCCTTTTGTTCAGTAAAAATGAATGTTTCTTTTCACGTGTGTGGTTGTGAGACACCTTAGAGGAATAGCATCGTGACTTGGTTTTCCTCCCAGTAGCAAAGGGGCATTTTTGTTGTTGTTGTCTGCGTAGTTAATGGTTGTTGCTGACCAAGTGTATATCAAACTTCAGGTAATTAAGCCGACAGTTTGTCTTACAGCCGAAACTCTTGAGGTGCAGCTCACAGACTGGTTTTTAAGACTACAGTGGGCACCTTATCAGAAAGATAAAATTATCTGAAGTACCCCAGCTGTGAAGTGCTGTGCTCAACGTGGTAACTGAACAACTGCTGATGTAGTTTGTAGTCCCTGTTTGCAGTCCTGCTGGCAGCACCAGCAGCGGGAGGGCCGCTGTCACTCGATGAGCTGTTGGGTGTGGAGCTGGAGAGCCAAAGGTTGCAGGTCAGCCACCACAGCTCTTCAAGAGCTTATTTGCTTTCCTGAGAAGCCACTGTTGCTTTAATATTCTCTTGAAGGCAGAAAAGACCAGAAGCTCCAGACATCAGAAGTTGTAAATGGCATCTAGGCTGTTTCAAGGCCACAGGGACTGTTTCCAGCTGTTAGCTGGGCTGGACAGGCTTCATCATGGCACCCAAACTCTGTCATTCTTGCAGATTCTGCACTATGACATCCTCCCTTTTCTGATGAAGCACGTTAATCGGCCTCCTATTAATAGAGGCCAGTTAACAAAGAGAAGGGAAAAACTCCCGTTTCCTCTGTGTTGACATGACTGAAGACAAATTGGAGGGGTGGGCAGTACTGCTCTCGGAGGAGTTACACTTCCTGCCAATAGCAATCTGGGGAGGGGTGGCACTTGCAGATCCATCAGCTGCCATTCATGTGCGTGCATTGAAACTGTGGGCTTTGTCCTTGGAAATCCCTCCTGGTTTTGATGGGGAGTGAGCTCCTCTGCCCGCGGACCCCACAGTCACACCACAGTTGCCACAGAGACACTGATGCCACCACCAGCAGGGACCGAGAGCTCGCCTGGAGCCGTGCTGCAAGAACTCAGCTCCTGTGATGAACACCTGGAGTCCGGTTGTTGAACAGATCAGAGGCTCAGGCACTCAACTTAAAATGAGACGCCTTTCTGACAGCTCTCATGAGTTTCCTACTATTCTGAGTTGAGACAAGTGTGTGTATTATTTGGGGTGATGTTTTTCTTCAAGTGAGTGGTGGTGTGCTGCTGCACTGGTTTTCTACCCTGCTGTCAGAACCGCTGCCCCGCATCATGGTATTTTTGTTACTGTGCAGAATCTTGGATTGTATTAAAAGGTGTTTGACTGTGGAGGCTACTGACTTTGTCCTTCATTCGGTTATTTTCCTTCCTGTAGACCTCAT